TTCATTCTCTAACCTCATTTTTTATTTTTATTGTTCTATTAACATCCAGTAAAGTGAACCAAACAAATCACCTCCACAGCAGCTCATTCATTGGTAATGCACAGAGGTCGATGCACTAGTGCTTTAAAAACTTATCAGTACAATTAGGGACCCTTCTCCTATAGGATGAGGTATTGTACCTACATTACTAGCCATAGTCACCCCAAGAAATGTAAGTAGCCACATCCTCCTTTCCCCCTTTCAAGATATGTATCTACTGTATTTGTCATGCAGATCAATGACATCATTGCTGGGACCTCAAATTCTTCCATCCTCCAGACCTGGCAGGTAACCTCATCTTTAATAATCACACCCTTCTCTCATGAGGGCCACCTACAGTAATGATGGCACGTTGGAGTTCTCCCAGTTACTAGGGAGTCGCTTGGGAGTCTTTTCCAGTAATCAGATGGCTTTTATTCTTCCAGTTCCCTTACTCTAGCTCCACATTTACTCACATTTACTGCCCACCCTCTTCCTTTTGTCTTTGTTTCCCTATTCAGACTGGATTTAAAAAAAAATATTCATTTGTGCATACAAGAACTGGGGTACAGGCCAGAGATGTAGGGGGTGTGTTGAGAGGATTCATCAGAGACGAGTGTGAAACAGAACGAGAAGTCTGACTGCAATACACTGCTGAGAGGAGCAGGAGAGGGCTGCTGCAACCTGGGGGTCAGCTCCCTGGCAGGGATCGAACTCGTGCTGCAGTGGCTTTGGGTAGCCGCATAGTGCTGAGCTTTAACCCGATGCACCACCAGGGAGGACCTCCAGGCTGAATTTCATGGGGTAAAACAAAACTATAGACACTCACACACCTTCCACTGTCCCCACTCTTCCTTTGTTGGACTCAGCCAGCAAAAGGCTAGCATTGCGGGGACCAGACCCTCTGCCAGTGCCCCTCTGTGGTGAGCAAAAGTCCTGATTTTGTTTTAAATTTTAACGACAAGCTTCAATTGGACACATTCGTTATTTTTCTTCATAATGCACAATTTAAAATATCTCTAAATCGGATGGATGACTAGTCAGGTTATTAATATGTAAGTTACATGTGATTTTAATAATATAATCAGCAAACTCAAATGCATAGGTAGAATTTAGCACTGTCAAAATGGACACTATTTAATAAACTATCTCATCTATAATCATTTGTAGAAATCATTACATGAGTACAATAATAAAAAAAAAAGTGCCTGGCTAATTCTTCAAAACAGACACTTTACAGGATAAAAATCTCCAAATAGAGTAAAGTAAAAGTCAAGAAACAAACCAAATTCAGAAATGTGAAATTCATTTAAATCTCTGAGTCAAAGAGGAAATAAATACAAATTATATACCATTACAGAAATAGTAGAAATGTCAATATTTCCAGATAATACATATGGAACATCGCTGGAGGGGTATTCAGAAAGTATATAACTTTAAGTTTACAATTACAACAGAAGTCAATTATTTAACCTCAAAAATGACAAACATAAAAACCTGCAAAACAATTCAAAGAATGTGGGAGTAGGTATATTTAAAGATAGAACTATAATGATTAAGTTAGAACTATAATTAATAAGTTAGAGAGTAATCAAAAGGAAAGTAGAGGAATTCTAAAGAAAAACCCAATATGAAATCATACCAAACACACCACCCACAAGTTTATACATAACCAGAGATGGTCTAATTATTAATATGTTGTCTGCAACCCAGTGACAATACATTGAAAGTCCACAGAAAATGTGTTTCCTAGCAAAATACTGGTTTCCCAAAGCTGACTTACGCACCCAATGGCTCCTAAGAAACCCATTGGTGAAACAAGCAAAATAAAAGGGAAAAAAACTTAAATATGAGAAAATCGAGTTGAAGTTACCCTTGTGGTAATGACTGCAGAATTCTACCTACTCTGCCATCACCCCATGAGACAACGGCAAGGACTTGAAAAGGTATGAATATTATGTGACGCTGGAAGTTCGGGAGAGAGCCATCCACGTGTGAGGGGTTTCAACAAGTGTATCCAGTATTTTTACTATTTCCTTAGTAAGGTTACTTTTCTATACCATGAGCTCAGGATGGCACTGCTTTGAAAATATTTCAGGCTGTCCCCAACCAAGTAACACCTAATTCTTTCCTGAAATGGAATTATGAACCATACAGCATGGTTCCCTCCGCCCCCGGACTCCCCCAGGCCGCCACTCGATGATAAGTGTCCTTCTTCCTCTGCATGGGGACGTGCGCACGTCTAGTCCCGCGATTTTGTTCTCTTACCCACCCCATTCCTGTCTTCTAGGCCGTGCGCAAGAGCATACAGCCGTCTGTAGCGCGCTGCACCCTCACTCTTCCTCGGACACCCCCTTCGGCCACAATGCCTTTCCTCTGGTCTCCTCGCCACACACTTCTCCATACCAGACCCTTGTCTCCATTCCTGCTGACACTTCCTCATCCCAGATGCACTGGGAACGTCTGATTCTGTCCACGTGGCTTCACAGAGACTCCTGAGGATCACCGGCTTCGGTCTTGCAACTCCAGGGCATGCTCTTAGGTTCATCTTTGTTCAACCCAACTGACCTGCCACTTTGACACTCTCTTCTCGCAGGTGCGCTGGATCTGGCTGCCTTGGCTCACCAGAGTGGACTGTGCACACCTCAGTGCCATCTTCAGTATTGTCATTTGACGGCTTGATTTTGGCCAGGGAAGAAGTATTGAAACCATGGAAACCAGCAAAGGCCTCACACTCTATCTCCCTTTTCTGGAAAGCTGGTTATTAAACACTTGCTAGAAACCACTGCTTCAAATAAGCCCAGTGCGAGTGATTTCCTCCCTTACTTTGGGGCGCCTCAAGGCAGAAAGACAATGCCACCTACTAAGCGCGTTGTCTTCCCGTAAGTCCTTCCGCAGGACTTAGTACGACCGTCAGTGGGCTGCTGGTAGAGGAGTAATGAACAGTTCATAAGAGCAGACCTTTATTTTCAGGAATTCTGCAAGCTGGCTGTTAAATACTCACTAACATACAAACTTATATTAAATCAATTCTATCAAAAGCAAAAATAATATCAAAGCTCATCACTGCTTAATTTGTTTGTGATATTTTACTATTATTTATGTTGAGGTGACTTGTGCCTACTGTATCTGTAGGCTAGAAATGTTCTCTCATTTTGCCACTGTCCCCACCACTCTCAATTGTCCCCCAATCCTGCAATGAGCACTAACAGCCACTTTCCCCCACGTAAGGCTTTTCTCTGCTCCTTATTTCTCCTCCATTAGCACAACCTAAACAAGGTCAGTCCAGAAATCTGCCGACCTCGGGCTTGATTTATAACTGAATTAACTTTTCTATTGATTTAAATCCCATGGACCCACATTAGAGCCACTTCAAACCACGTGAAACGGTTTTGGAATAACTCAAAATATGCACATCAAGATGTACATAATCTCTAACATTTATTTTATGCTTTAATAATTAAAATTTAATTCATTACATTTCACTAACTAATCAGAATAAATATACTATCAATCTTTTCACTTACATCCTTCTTGCCTTCCTTTCTCCCTTCTTTTTCCTTCTTTGTCTCTTTCTACATCTTAGTCTTACCTCTACAGTACAATGTCACTAATGAGGTCATTACATTTTTCTATTAAAATTCATACTTGAGTCTAAATTTTGGCCTAATTTACACACTGGCACTATGTCTCATGCTAATTAGCCTTAATGACCAAATCCCCCAACAATGTAGCAAATGTAGGTATTTCAGGTGACATCTGTCACCCAATGTTAAGTATTTCATAATAAAGCTTTTTATTATCATTATGGTGTGATGAGTGCAATAATGTTGCAATTTCTTTGCACTCTGAGTTCTGATTTTGTACCATGATTGCCAAGGCTTCTTTATATTCCACTTGAACTATAAGTTTGGAGGGGAAAATTTTCTTTGTACAGTAAGTCAGTCTAAGTTTAAAAACTATGTTGCTTGATTTCCTATAATGATCCACATAAAACCATGTTGTGTTAACCATGTCAGGCAAAGTGACTTTAATTCCAAATGAGCTGAGCTCTCAACATAATTTCTTAATTATCTATTAGTAACCTGAACTATGTAACCACAGGAATACAATTACAAGCAATTGTTTGATGCTAGCCTAACCCTGCAGGAGATGTCGTTCTTATGGTACTCTTCCAAGTTCTGATTTCAGAAGGAGGAGGAGGGATGGCCTGGAGAAAATGAGAAGAGAAATAGGCGAAGCAGTTTTGGGGGACAAAGAAAGAAGAAGGCAAAAAAATAAATAATTACAGAGACAGAAATGAATGAGGAGGACTAGAAGAAATCCTTCTCTAGATTCTGGCCTTATAGCAAATGTTTGAAGCATCTGCGTTGGATTTTAAGATCACCAATTTTCATTTGTTTCCACTTCTGAAGTTCCCACCCTGATCAAACCTGTTCTACCTCCAGGCCTCAGACCTTTCCCTCTGCCCCACAAACATGTTCCCAACACTCGCCTTCCTCAGGTCATATGTACTTAGCAAGGAAGTTGGGAAATACCAGCGTAAGAGCAGACATCATCTTTGGGCCCAGGGCTCTGGAGCCTTATTCTCTAGCAGGAGGGACTCTAGTCAGTGTCCTAAAGCAAAGCAGGAAAGACCGAAGGCAGTATTTGGAAGGAAGCTACCTTTCCTGGGAGTTATCTTTCTTCTGAGCTCCCCTCAGCCATCCCAACACGACCTGCCTTCTCCATCCCGATAGATCTACAGGCAGCCACTATGGAGACCCGGCCTCTAACTGGCTGTCAGGACAGGTTTCCGAACCAAGTTAGCTTTTTGGTTCCTCACTGTGTTTTAAAATAGCTCCCGAGGATGGCCCAAGAGTGGAGCAGAGAGGGCTGGTGGTTGGTCTGTGCATCCTTGTTGTGCCTGGGCCTAGGGAAAAGCCTAGCTGTGGGCGGGGACACATCGACGTGATTTCCAGTTTCCTTGTCCAGATTCTCCATAGTTTGCAAAGTTCCTGGCGGTGTTAGTAAATGAATGTGACAACATAGCTTTGGTTGCTTGGAACTGGGAAGGTTTTAAAGAAAGAAAAGTGGGGGAAATTGTTGGCGATGCTGGCAACATTCGCAGTACTATATGACTTTAAGGATGATTCTCTGTTGAAAAGCGCCATGTCTAGGAATGAGATATACATACACGTGTGCCAGCCTTCAGATAACCACAGGGGCTTCTCTCCGGAGTCACTGTCTCCACCATCGTGAAGGAGCAAGCTCTGCTCTGGCGCCGGGCGCTTGGCCTCTGCCTTGATCCGGAGCCTCTTGAGCCCACAGATAGCCAGGTATTCTGTGGGGAGAGTGTTAGAGCTGCACAGGGAAAGCTTTAGGTCCTGGACCAGCGTGAAGTTCAACAGGAGGCTCAGGGCGGACGTGTCGGTGAACCAGATGGTGAGGTGGCCGCTGTAGCTGGCGCCCTCCACAGCGGACGGCAGGACTGTCCTGCAGCTGCACAGCAGGTTGGCCAAGCCGTAGTCACAGTCCCGAATGTCTGCAGAGCAGCTGCAGTTCCGAATGGCGCTGTCCTTTGTGAAAATGAGTGTGCGGTTCCTCTGAGCACCTGCAAAGCTGTCAAGGGCAAAGATGCCCAGGAGGCTGATCAGGAGGCTGCGCCCAGAAGGCTGTGCCATTCTTGTCTCCAGGTGGGCCTGCGTGTCCCGTGTCCCCTTTCAGAGTTTCTTTGGAACTCACCTGAGGGGGGAAAAGGTAAGCAGCTTCCTTAACACGGCTGTCACAGGAAATATCAACTGTGGGGGAAGGAGGCTCCCAAGTAAGCCACTGAAAAGCCTTCTCTCTTGCGGTTGTAATGAGGCTAGTGATGTCTGAGGCCCACAGTGTGGGCTTGCTTTTTGCTCAGGCAGCAGCCACCTCCCTGAACTCTGTTCAACTCTCAGGGGATCTCTGACAGTGAGACTGCCAGGCTGGCTCCCGGGCAAGGGGGGTGGGTGCTGGGAGGAGCCCCCCATGCCTGTCTGTGGGCAGGGCAGGCAGTGATGTGAGGCCTGTGTTAAGGAAACATACACCACCAACACCTCGCTCCTGGCACTGAGCACCTGTCAGGCCCCTGCCCAGGCCCCGTCCCCTTCCCGAGTCTGACTTCCTGGGATTCGGGAAGTAGACAGTTACTTCCTCGTTGGATTCGGCCACTTGCTGGATCACAGAGCGGGAACACTAGTGAAACACTTAGTTAATGGTCAGCTTCCATTTCTAACTAGACAAACAAGCCCCTCGATGATAGTGATCTGCTTAAAGGTCCCTACACACGTGGTCTCCTAGAAATGGAGTTGGACAGTGTTAATATACATGGAGACTAATCACCAGCTCATCAATCACTGTTATCTTGATCTACCTACTCCTATCCTATAATGCATTTTATTTACTTATAGATTAATTAAGATTTTATTTATTTTTGTGTAGAAGAACTAAGGTATAGGCCAGGGGTATGGTGGGTGAGAGGAGTCACCAGAGACAGAGTGGGGAACAGGACAGGCAGAACTGCTGAAATACCCTGCTGAGGGGAGCAGCGGGTGAGACAGGAGAGGTCTGCCGTGCCCTGTGGATCATTCCCTGGCTGGGGCTTGAACTCAGGCCATAGAGGTGATAGCACTGAAACTTAACCTCTAGGCCACCTGGGAAGCCCCCAGTAATACACTTTATGACATATTCAGAGAGGATGGGGACAGCAAAGCAAGGCACACCTGCAACTTTTACCCTGCAGAGTAGACCATGAGTTAGCAAAGCAAGGCAGTGAGAAATCTAGGGGTGGCAAAGGTAAAAATTGGGGTGGCCCATAGACAGGCCGGCAGTGGGCAGTTAGCTGGAAAACAAGGCAGTTCAGAGTGAGCTCAGCCAAGGACATTTGAACAGAAAGTTCACAGCAATTGCAGTTCATCCACTCATTCATCATTCAGTCAGTCAGTCAATGAATGCCAGTTGGGGGTTTATGCACGTTCTTGGGTAACACTAGAGTCACAGCCCACAACAAGACAATACACTTAGGGTGCTTATGCGCTCAGGGGCTTGAGTCTGTCTCCAGGGTGTAGGAAGAACTAAGGGGCAGCAATGGGGTGGGAGAGGGAGGCAAAAGCAGGCGCCATGCAGGACCCAGCTCTGGCTGCGCGCTAAGAACATGCAGAAGAAAAAAGATGAACACAACCTGGACCTGCGCCCCAAGGTCGCATATGCCAGAGAGAGAGACTCCGGAGGCCCAGTGAGCAGAGCTCTCCCAAGTGTGCACACTGTCGGAGAGGTAACATTGCGTGACGTGGAAGTGCCTCGGCGGACGGAATGCAGCATTGTGTGTTTTGTGTTTATGTCGAAGTTGGAGGAAACCTTCCTTAAAGGGTTCACTCTTTGGTTCATTTTACAATTGACGAAAGGGCTTGAGAAATATGTAAAAGCCTAAATGCTCCCAGAAAAAGAGATAAGACATTTTCAAATGGCTTTAGAATGTGGCCAGGATGATTCCCCCACTTAGTAGGGAACCGTGAATAATTTATTAATTACAAGATAATTTTAGCTGAGCAGCTGTCCCAGATTCCCAGGTTTCCAGGACTTCATGTCCCAGGAGCCCTGTCATGCCAGAACTGGAGACGCTGGCATCAGCGCCCGTGACCTGCCCTGCCCCCAGCCTGAAGGGGGCAGCAGGGAAGGCGACCTCTCCTCAGCTTGCATCTGGTGAGCAAGCCTCAGCTCCTTCAGATGCTGATGAGTGTCAGAGGCCCGCGGGGATGAAGCAAAGGGGCTGGAAAGGAGAATGGAGTTGATTTCCTGGAGCGAGTGGGGCTGGATATTCCAACAGGAGTTTGTGGGCAGCTTTCTAGCAGTCAAGGGCCAGCCTGACTTCAGTGTGGCCCCTGCCCTCTAGCCATCAGGGACCCTGAAGGCCAGATCAGGGAGGCTAGATGCCGGAAAACTCATGAGAAGGTACAGAGCAGGACAAATAGCCCTGGTGACCAGCTTTTGGGATCACCACGAAGATGCCACTGGACACATTTCTCTTTCAGTTCTGCCCCATGTTTCTTCCTGTAGGTTTGTTGAACGTGGCTTTGGAGAGCTGTAGTTTCACTCTGCAGTTACTCATCTGAGTGCAGATCCTCGCCTGGCATGAACAGAATGGGCGCGTCCTTTTACATGGTCCCTCCCCCGCTCCACTTGCACCCACAGTGGTGATGGGGGTAGGGAGCCTGGGCTATGCTGAGACACAGCAGGGAAGTCTCAGTGATGGAGAGCACAAAGAGGATGGGGTGCCTGGGGTGTTGGGTGAGTCCTCGGGTCAGCCCAGCCGGACCCCTCAACTGTAGTCCTGGCCAGCCCCACAGCCTGTCAATCTCTCTGCTCTGTTTTTGGAATTTTAAGATTCTGGCTACTTTGTGTTAGTTCTGTAAGTAAGTTTTCTTTGCTTTTTTTCCTATACAAGAAATATTCCTCTGTCAGATGTCACCTCCTCAGGCAGCTTAGCATGATAGCTTCTCCCAGGTGCAGGCTTCACACTCCACTTCAACTGTTATTACAGTGGCTGTTATTATTGCACACTGTGATTTTCAGTTCAAGAGTTTCTTCCCTGGACTAATGTCTCTTCTGTTTTTTGAGGGAGCTCTAAATGGGCTTTATTTTCTCAGTTTCCAGCACAGTGCCTAACATACAGCAAGCTCTCAATAAATGATTGTTGGATGGGCAAGAAAAAGTTTGCCAAATGTAAGTGTCTGAAGATTTTCATTGCTTATTATAGAAATCCAATTCGAATAGGTTTGGGTAGGAAACAAAAGCATTAGCTCACCTATTTTTTTTTTTTAAATCAAGAGGGTGTCAGGCACGGTTTGATCCAGGTGCTGAAAAATCAGGTTTTTAGGAACGTCTCTCCATTTCTTATCTGTTTTCTTCTGTTTTGGCTTCATTTGTGCGTAAGCTCAGCCTTTCTGGAGACCACACAGTCACCAGTAGAGCCAGGCTAGCCTTCTACAAATTGAGCAACCTTGACAGAACAAAGGTATGCTTCTCAACAGAATCAGACAAAGGGCTCTGATCTTAAAGAGTCACAGGCTCAGCCCTGAAGCCAGTGAGTGGGATCAGCCACACTAGAAACAATGAACTGAGAGGCAGCCGGCTGGTTCTACAGAGGGAAACTGGAGAGCACTGCCAGAAAAAAACAAGGTAAAGGGTCAGAACAAAAGCAGTTCTTTAGACCCTTGGGCCCAGCTATCTTCCTACTCCCACTGTTAGCAAACACTGCACACCCTTTTGAAAACACACACACACACACACACACACACACTCCTGGAAGCAAATACACGTCTCCCTATGCAGCCTATATCCAGATGCCAAGTTGTCTCCTCTCCTTCGAATCCACAAAGATTTGTGTAGGCTCAAGGGTTTGCATTTGTGAGACAGCCTTGCCTGTTAATGAAGTCCTGGCTTCAATGTGCGTTTGTGGGGGTGTCCAGACCCTAGTTTTCTTCTGCCTTCCCCCCACTGCTGCAGTTCAGGTTAGTATTTGAGACTGTCTGCTGCTTGCTGGAACATCTTGCCATTTTCCTTTTCTTTTCCCCTCAGAATTTATCAAGTTGCCACTCACTTACATAATTTGAGAGCACTGTTAGCACAGGCTTCCCGCCCCTCCTGTCTCCCCCCAGCCCATCCTCCCCCCCTTCTGTGCCATCCGCCACCCAGATAATCACTACGCGGTGCTCTTCCCTTTCCTTGAGTTCTTCCCGAAGTGCCTTCCCACTGTTCAAATATAAATCACTTCCACTTTCTAACTCAACTCGCTTCTGACTTTAAATCAAAATTTTTAATTGCTGTAAGGATTTGGAGAATGTTGTGAGAATTTTGCACAATTACTTTTTTCTGCTCTTTTGTGTTAAGACCAGATTCACAGCATCATCACAAATTATTCATAACATTTCTAATCTGTTTTGGGCAAATGGCCCCCCACAGTCCTCCCACCAACACAGTATCTCCTTACTAGTAATATCTTCTTATAAACAACTAGTTCAGTTTGAAACATTGCTTTTGGAGCCAAGTATAAACACTATCTACATGTTGGGCGTCCTCCTAGATTGAGAAGGAATCTGTGTGGAATTTGTTTTGAAGCAACTGATGTCTCTGTCAGCTCAATTAGGAATCTTTGCTTTCATACAGTTACTGGCTAATATTAATCACCATTCAGACGTCTCCAGCTACAATGTGAAAATGATATGTGAATCAACCCCCTGCTTTTTAAACATCTTGTATGATTTACACAGTTTTTAGCGTCATGCTAAAAGATGTTAGTGGTTGACCACCACCACCTACGCTTTTGCCTGGGGTGTTTAAAGCCAGGTCTTGTGTCTTACAACACAGATGTCAAAAACCTATGGCACCACCAGTAGCCAGTTCCCCTCTTCTCCTTTGCTGTAATACTAAGGATTTCCAAGCTTCTTGCAGAGAGGTGTTAGCATGTAAGTGAGCTCTGGCTGTTGGGACATGGGCAGGAAATCATGGGGCAGATCTAAGAGCTTTGGAAGACCACAGCAATACAGATTAAAGCCTGAGGCCCTGAATGATTGTGGAGCAGAGCGCAGCCTGCCCACGCCACACCTTTTTGCATTAAACTGTAATCTCAGGGCGGTCCTGACCTTCATCCCCTAAG